ACTGTAAGGTCATGCTCGTGGACGTGCAGTCGGTTAATCAATGAACCTCCGTAGTGATCACTAATACCCGAACTAACAGCGGATCAGTGAGGCTACTCAGGGATATCTAAACACTGGCAATTTTTGAAGTATGTCTGGGAACCATCAACCAAATTAGTTGGTCCAACTGTGTAGGATGGAAACGAAGGTCTGGTGTGAAGCGTAGTATCCGTTTGGACAGCTAGCCGCCACACCAACTCAAGAGAATCCCAACTGTGGTTGTGCCTATCGCAGGCTGCTTTGCGCAAGATAGTCTCTTGAGCATGCTGGGCGCATTGTGATCTGTTTAATCAGGAGGGCATGAGGCCAGGATTGGAAGAAAGAGGGCAGTTTTAAAACCGAGACAATATTCAGAACCAATAAACAACGAGTGCAAACCAAATCAGGGAAAACCAAATGCTTCTAGCGCATCATGCACACAATTGATCGATAGCAAGGTCATGTATATGTAAACAATCACGTTTAAATATTGGGACTGCCGCAGAATATCTGTTTTAGTACAGGTGTAATGGTGATACTACTGATGGAAGAGGCATGCGAGCAGTATGTTTTCTTCTTGCATATTCGCTTTGTGTCTCTTGAAAAGGGAGATCTGTTGCGGACTTAGTGGAGTGGCTTTGTAACATTTGCTTGGACTTGAGCAACAGTCAATGGATATCCAGGAAAGTTCAGGAAATCGCGTTCAAGAGATAATGAATGTCCATTTTTGTAAACAAGATGCATATGAAAGTTTTGCCTCCTTGTCCAATAGTCTGTAACTGGCCAGTTGACATTTCCCATTAAATAACTCCGCAGAGAGGGCCTTCTTTCTTTCACAGGTACACACTACTAAATAACTCGGCGTTGGGTTATGGATTCAAGATATTACTCACATTCTGCTGTTCTCTGCGTTCATATTTCTACCACCTGATTGCGGTCTGGAAAACCGGGATCCGCATAGACTAATATTCTCATTGAACACGAATTTGGTCATGACAGGAGACCAGATAGGAACCAGCTGAATCTCTCGTTTGACGGGGTCCGCTTCGACTGAACGTTTTGCACCAGACCGCCGCATGTTTCATTTGGTAGGACTGCGCCAACATGATGGGCCACAAGAAGAACAAAACCAGTCATGGTCTGTCGGCTAATTTTCCTCAACCTTAT